TTTGTTTGTTTATTTGTTTTGTCTCCCGCTTTTGGCTGCCTATTTGGGTTTGTTTCTATGTATTAGGTAGGTCTGCTAGGACTCTCAGTCTTTTTGGAGGCTGTCTGGTGGAGGCCAATGTTAGATCCTGTTTGTGACTGGCCTTGAGTACCCTGTTTGGAGCTATCAACAACCCATGGCTTGAGGTCCCCTTGTTTTGGGGCTGGGTGCATTTGGAAAGGACCAAGATGCACACCAAAGTCTACTTTTCCAAGGCCTGGGTCCTGAAGCAGATCAGGCAAAGACTCAAAGCACTCTGATGTCTGCCTCTGCCTGCAGGCTGATTAATTTGATTCTCTTAATGAGCCCCAGGCTATAGAAACTCCAAGGGGTAAGGCTAGAAGTTTTCCAGCAGGATGGGGCAACTGCATCCCCCTTAGGCAAAAGCTGCTTGGAAGGTAAATATCTGCCTCTGCAGTATGAAGGAATGACTTGGCACAGGAATCCAGAGGGGTGCCCTCTGAATTCTATCTCCAGAGCCCACAACCCTAGATTCTCCTCACACAGCTCCAGTCCACACTGGCCTCCCTTTGCTGGACACCAAGGTGAGTGGCTGCACATGAAACTTTGTGTGTTGGCTCTTTAAGAGGGTGCCAGCATTTCCAGCCATCTCTCCCTGGCAGACAGAAACCCAGCTGCTTTTCACAGCAAGATGTTATGTGGGCACCTTTCTCAGTTCTGGTGCTCTTGGCTGGGAAGTCCAGCCTGGGGTTTAGGCCCCAGAGTTCTCAGTGGGAATCTCCCACAGTTGAGATATCCTTCTGGACCTTCAGCTGCTGCCTGTGGGAGCCCAGCCAGCCCTCTCATGCCTCCGCACTTCCTATCAGTCTCTGTGTGGTCTCCATATTTCATCCTTGGTTTTGAGGGTGCTCTCCAGCTAGTCTTCAATTGCAGCTGATTATGCAGGATGGCTCTTCTATATTTTAGTTGTAATTCCAGTTTGGTCTGGGGAGAGTGTCAGTGTAGCTTCCACTCAGCCCACCCCCATCTTTAATTGCATAGATGGAACTGGGGGGCATTACACTAAGTGAAATAAGCCAGTCAGAGAAAGACAAGTACCACATGATCTCACTCATACATGGAATATCATAAATAAAATATACCAATGAATAAAACAGATCCAGAGACATAGATGCATGGAACAGACTGAGGGATCTCAGAGGGAAGGCAGGGGTGGGGGAGTGGGTGGGGAGAGATTAATCAAGGATCTTATATGCTTATATGCAAAACCTATGGACACAGACATTCGTAGGGGGAAGGCCTGGAGATGGGGTGGATACGGAGTGGAGGGGATCAATGGGGGTAAAAAGGGGACATCTGTAATACTTTCAACAATAGAGGTAAATTTTAAATAAAAACAACAAAAACTGAAGAATCATTATAAAAACAAGTATACTCCTAGAGACCCAGTTTCCCTGATCATAAAAAATATAGATAAAAAAACTTGGCAAGAATACAAGTCTATACCACCATTCTATAGAAGTTGATCAAATTTAAAGGTTCCTCTATGAAATTACTCTAAGAATAAAGGGAACTTTATCTAGCCTATTCCATTGATTTCTGTGACCTAGTAAATTTATGTGCCATCAAAAATAATTTTAAAGTACTAAATGAGGCCATTATAGTGAAGGAAAATTTATGGATAGGATAGTAATAAAGTTATAGATTAGCACATAGAAGTAAATAACATTTATACCAACATCATAGACTAATGTGGGTATAAATTTAACTCTATGCTTTCTATGGATAGAAGATAAAACATGACAGTAATAAGACTCATAGGTCCAAAAGACAATAAACCATGATCAACAGCCGACAGGGATTTGTTAGGTAATGAAGGCATCTCCAACAACCTATCTTTCTTTGTCACAATAGGGTGTTTCATGTGATTTATTAAAAAATAACTTTCAGTGCAGGTTACTGACATATAGGTGAGTATAAATCTAATTAAAGCAAATCTTTAAGGGACCAAAACAACCTGGACCAAGTCTGTCTTATGTTCGGAGTAAAATTTAGAACATAAAGAGTGAGTGGATTGCATGTTAGTCAGACATGTTTCATATGGAATTATTACAGTTTTTTGCATGTCACTTTGATAAGGACTAGACAGTAGAGATTTCTGATGTGATCTAGAACAATCAAGAATATGTTTTTTAATGAAGTCCATGAATGGCAGAACATTGGTTTGACATTAACTGGTAAGGGTTAATGGCCTTTAATAGAAATCAAATTGTGCATTAAGAACCTAACTGAACACACTGGATTCACTTTATATTTGTTTAGGGAAGGGATGTGGAAAGACCATGCAGAAATCTACCTTTGTAAACAGTTCCGAGTTCACTTTGATATGGCAGTAATTGAACTGTGGTTGTAATCATTTTTGCTGAAAAATTTTCTCAAAGAAAGCATTATAAGTAGCTACACACATAAAATTAGTCATAAAAAATCTCAGTAAAATCCCTATACTACATAAATTTTAAGTAGTGTAGTTTTATGATAGTGTCCACAAAATATGCTAGGAGCCAATTTCAACCCCAGTAAACAGTGATTATATCTGATGTATGGAATCATTGATGGTTACATTTTGATTTTAATTTCAGAGTAGTTGGTTTTAGTTCATTTTTATGGCAATAGGCACTATCAAGAGCAATTGTCTGTGGAATCCATTTGTAGTGCATGCTTATAAAAGCATATCATCAGTGCAGAAAAGATGCTTAGCTTAATAATTTCCATAACAGGAGAGCACATATCTATGGAATTATTAACTTAAAGTTAATACAAGTGTTAGGGAGAGATTGAAAGGCTCGCAAGGATGTTATAGACATGTTGAAAATATATAAGTAACACCTGAAAAGATGTTCTAAAATATCAGAAGACTGCTTGGCTTTGAGTATATCATTAAGATACCTCAACTAGGAATTAGGGATATATATTGAGTTTATATCACTCATTCAATAACCATTTCCTGACCACAGAGTCAAAGCAAAAGAAAAAAAACTCAAACTAAATAGCTTAAATCTTCATTTTATATTTTCTAGAATGTGATGGATATGACACTTCTTGCCGTTTTGCAGTAACTGAGTCTGAACCTCACCTGCTTTTCTTAGAGAACATTAGCACGAAGAAAACGGGACTAAATAAACAGGATCCCACTGGGAAGGAGTAAAGGTGGAAGAAGTTGAGGGTGGAAAGCTGTGACATGCGAGGGCAGAGCACAGGGAGGCATCAACACAAGGCAGGTTGAAGTCATGAAATCCAGGAAAGACGCTAAAAGGAAGCATCCAAAGAAACAGAGGAAGACTAGGAGAGTGTGGCAGAAACGAAAGTCAGCCAGAGGTAGAAGAAGCTGCAGGATGAGGCAGTCAATAGCGCCCAACACCTCAGAGCAGATATTACCACAAAAATGAAAAAATGGCAAATAGTGAGATGCGTATCATGGTTAAAATGGCAGTAAGAATTAGTGATTGAAAATAAATCTTCAGAATCAAGTATCTACAAGGCAATAACAGGGTTTGCAGGACTGAGAGAAGGATGTTCGTGTAACACATGCTCTTTACATTTGATTCTCTCAGACAAAAAAGAGTAGAATAACAAAAAGAATCCATCTCATGTCTGACTTTAGGTGACCGGAAGTTGACATTATGTGGCCCAAAGAAATAGTGCTCTGGCTCGCAGAACTGAGTAGAACTTACAAGGCAGCTGGATGACGGAAAAGCATAACAGATTAGTCCTCAGACTTAAAATCTGAGATCAGGAATGCATCTAAACTAGTAAAATTACTCCACTTTTTAAAAAGCAAAAATATTTTAAAAATTCTACAAGTCCTTTCTCTTTAAGAAAATACTATAAAAGTATAAAAATAACACCAAAATTCATCTAAAATGAAAACTATTTTAAAAGGCTCTCATTAATTTTAATTAATCCTATTTACTACAGGATGTCTAATAAATTTTACATGAAGAAAGGAAAGTTAGAATTAGTTATTGCTAGCCTCAGCAATGTGGAGGTACTTTTCCTTTGCTCTATATTTGTAGTTTGAGAAAATGTAGAGTTTTTAGTTAATTTTTAAATAAGGGCATTTAAAATACAACCAGTATTTTACAGATAATTACAAAATGAATCATAAGTGGGCGCAAATTGAGTAATTTGATTAATTTCTAAGTTGACCTTTAGAAAAGTATTTGTCTAACATTTCTTAGTTGTATTTTTATTACATCCAACTAAAGTCTAAGCTACTTAATTTTCATGTTGTTTTTAAAAATGAAAACTGCATTATGGATATAAAATAGTTTGTTTTGTGAAAGAAGTATTCCATGTCAGAGACAATTTGGGTTTTGAAATGCATTATGAATATTATGTTCAAATATCTGCTTCTCTTTCTAGCAAGGTTTGTTCTTTTCAGACTTACCTTATCTTCTGAATGCATTTTTCACTTGTATACTTAATGAACTAAATCATTACCTTTCTGGTAGTTCAATTTATTGCTCACTAATAAAAAATAAAATACTCCAAATGGCAGCGCATAGCTTTCTCCAAGGTATGTGTCCTCATTCTAGGTAGCCTCTGACCTAGATGAGACACCTCAACATTGCAGATATATAATGTGCATCCCCAGCAGAATTGTCCATAGGAATAAATTCTTTATTCTGGGAAGCTCGATCTATAAAACATGTAAAATGTAGAAGAGCTCTGCCTATTCAATTTCTGGTAAGTACAGCGTGAGTCAGCGATAAAGCCTGAGTCAGCTTCAGTCCGACACACCTAACACAATGTTTACTGTGCCATGAGGGAGGAAGGAAATGCAGGGGGCAAAGGTGTCTTCTCCAAAGTATTGAGGTATTTTATATCCACACAGTTCTGCCTTGATCAATGGATGCTTAGCTCTGGAAGCATTTAGTGGGATAGTTTACCAGTTAGTCACAGATGCCCCAGGTTAAGCAGCATGAGAAGGAAGAACTCACCAGTACCACTGGACAGATTGTTGTGGGTGGTAAAATATGATCCTTCAAAGGTCCGCAGTCACATTCAGGTTTTAGATGAGACGCACATTTGTTATGCAGCTGGGAAAAGAGAAAGAAGACACTGTCAAATTCTGCATGACAACAGCAAACATAGGACAGATTGTATGTCAACTCAGATACAACAAATACCTTAAAGGTACATTAAAAGAATTATAAGAATAAACAGGACCTTAAAGAGATGCATATTATATTTGTACTTATATATTTACCTTAAAGAAGCCATTTAGCAACTTTTATGACCCCGCCTATATATTTTCTAATCTCAGAAATGTTTATATTAAAAATGTACTTTAGGTTTTACACCAAAAACAGCCTCATTTCTTTGACAAACCCACATTATTGTCCATTACAGTCCTTCCTTACCATAATCTCGAAAGCACTGTGCACTGTGGATGCTTTTTTTTTTTTTTGACCCTCCTGTTTTCTCAAAGTCATTCCAAAGTGCACAGCTCAGTATGGGGCATAATTGATCCCATCATTAGTTTTAACTTCGTAATTCAATATGTAAATGTAACCAGAGATTCATCTCAGTAGGAGCAGGATATAAATATAAGAAGATGATTATCATTATAAAAATGTATCTTTATATTGTGTATATCAGCTCTACATTAATTTAGTGCATAACCATACAATGTGCTATTTACTTTTCAAGATATATGAACCTAAACAGATACTTTTATCAATGTTGGTCGCAAGTTTAAATTAAGGTTATAACATAGTACATTAAATAGTGGTGCATTTTTTTTTTTAATTGAGGTGGTAGGTTTTATTGAAATCATACAGATTTGCTAAAGTAACAGTTGTTTAAATGCATCTAGGAATTTCTCCCACCCCACTTCATATCAATTTAATATGAAATATCATATTTTAGAAAAACTATACATGTTAATAAAATAACATGTATTGTTCAAAACAAAAAAGGAACTACATCACATTTCAGTTTTGACTCAAAAATCCCACCTTTTAAGTCATGGTTAAATTAAATTTCACAATAAACTTACCTCTGTAACAGTTAATTAGCAACCAAGGACAGGAGTATAAAGAGTTGTTGATTTACTGTGGGCAATAGAACTCTATTAAAGGAGTATTTTCCTGTCCTTCCACCTAAAATGTCTGCATGCTAACTCCCTGCCTTGGAGTTAAGGCTACTTGTACTGGAGTCATGTACCTTAGGCTACATTATATGAAATAAAGGTACCTTTACACATTCATCCATAATTAGCAGTTCTGCTTGTCAGCAGTATGTAAACTCCTTATAAAAAGTGGTTAAATCTAATCAGAACTGCTGAGCTTTGTCATGAGGCAAGAGGTGTTGAAGATAAAGTAGTAGTTGATGCCATAGGGAAAAACAGAGCTAATTAAATGAACACTCTGACTTGGCAAATGCATACTAGTGACTGGTTTACATATATTATTAACTTATTGTACTTAATCAGTTTTCTTAGAATAAGTCATGGCCCTTGAAATTTGGATTTAGGGATAATGGATTGCCAAGTGTTGTGGGTTGAATTGGGTCCCCAAAAAGATATGCTGAAATCCTCACTCCTGGGACCTATGAATGTGAACCTATTTGGAAATAAGATGTTTTTAGATGTATTAAAGTTCAGATGAAGTTATACTGGATTAGTTTGAGACCTTATAGTATGAGAGAAATCTGGACACAGAGAGACAGACATGGAGGGAAGATGGCCATGTGACAACAGAGTTTGAGATTTGGCAATGAAGCTGCAAGACGAGGAATAGCAAGGATTGCCAACAACCACCAAAACTAGCAAGAGAGAGGCAAGGAAGAGTTCTTCCTTTCAGCCTTCAGGGGAAGCATGGGTGGAGGGACATCCTGACATTGGAGAATCATCAATTGGCTGCCTCCTGTACACCCCCTACTGGGGATCAAGATCAAAACCTGGGCATGTGCCTTGACTAAGAATCAAACCCGCATCCCCTTGGTGCATGGGGCAATGTTCAACCAACTGAACCACACTGGCCAGGTTCAGCCATTCCTTTTGGTGTAGATTAAAAGTAGAGAAAGTATTCAGAAAAAAACAAAATATTAGTGTCAAGGAAAATTTCAGAATTTAATTTGGTTCTTGAGATGTAGTAAAAATTCAAAGTGGGCAGACTGAAGGGAATAGAGTAAGCAAAATACCAGGTAATAGGGGAACGTGACCTTCCCAAGAGACTGTCAACAAATATGCACAGTTATCTAAGGGTCTACACATAGAGAGGAATATTATATATGCCATGTGCCTTAGGTTAGGCTCTGATATTTGAGGAACTGAAAAGCAGGTTGGGGTAGAAGGCGAGGGCTGCATGTATTATCACAGAACTATTATAGGTTGCTGAAGGTGGCATATGATAATAAACTAGTATTTTCAGAAGATGATTCTGGAGGTGGTAAGCAGCCTGCATTATAGGAAAAGTACCTTCTGTTAGGGAGATAAGCCAAGAGATTCTGATCTAATCTAGTTCAGAGGTGCTAAGAGCTTGCACTTGGGCTGTGAAGATGGAGACAAAAACTCAAATCTGAGAGAGATATTTTAAGGAGAAAATTTCAAGTCTTAGTGATAGGTTGACTGTATAAGATAAAGGTGAAAGACAAGAATAAAACAGATTTACTTCTAACTCTACTTCCAATGACTACAAGCATGATGATGCCATATCTGATAGAAAAGAGAGTTGGAATAGTTGTTTTTTGTGAATTATAAATAATTCTGCTTTGTCTAGGATTTAGTGATATTCAGGACCACATGGTTCTGGATGCTTTCAGAACATGTAAGTGCTGCTTGATTTTGGCTGGGGAACCACATATCCTTCCAGTGGTGAGAGAAAAATGCCGTGAGTAATATTCATAGACTGTCTTCTGAGAGCCAGGAGTTGCACTGCTGATAATTGTCTATTACTGAGCCCTTACTATGTATGAGGTTCTGTCCTAAACACACCTACTCATTGAATTATTATTAACAATCCTACAATACAGGTATCATTAACTCCAATTTACAAATTAGGAAACTGCCCAAAACCATTACATACCTGGCCCAAGACTACATAACTACTATCTTATCTGTTGGAGAAAGACGATCTTAACAATGTGATCAGTCTGACTTCTAAGACCCAAGCCTTTTCCAAAACTAATCTATAAAAAAAGTAATAGCATTTGGAAAACCCTGAAATGAAGTCAACTGTCATTCTCTTTGTTTCTCTCTGAAATCTCTTCCTCCTGGAACTCATTCATATAGGCCTTCTTAAAGCCTCACATTGATGGTGCCATATCCCATCAATTTCACAACTTCTGCTAGCTCTTTGCTACATGAATAGCACTTTCTGCGAAGTATTAAGAAGATAAGAAAGTAGATTCAGTTTATTTAAAGGCAATCAGTCATAGTAGGTAACTGCCAGTCAAGAGCAAATCAACTTTATAGTTATACTAAAATTTTGCCATGGTAGTTAAAGAAGAAAGTATGAATTATATTAAATATATAAGTGGTCTGAGTAAATTATTCTGTTTAACCTAGGCACAAATCAATATATTAATTAGTCCTTATAATTGCTTAAAATAAAATATCTAAAAGTGCACAGAGGCTCAAGTTACTTTTGAGAAGGCTATCTATTTTTCTGAACATATGAGAACTCTTGTTTGTTGGGCAATTCTTGTTTCAGAACCCAAATACCCATGGGACCCTTGGAGATTAAGGTTTACAGCAAATAAGCTCGAGGTGGGCCTTAAACCACAATGCTCATGGTCTGCTTATATCCTGAGTAGAACTCAGCGATATAAAGACATTTATAGTTTATACTGTGTTCTGTCCTGGTGAACGGATAGAATTATCTTCACATACACATTGATCTTTAGTTAAGAATAAGATGGTAGGGCCTGTCATCTGAACTAATTTAAACATAAAAATCCAGAGATTTTTAAAAGTATACTTTGTTCTGAAGTAGAACTCTCTCTCTTGTACAAGGAAGGGCCTAATTTCTTGCAAGCTTAGAGTCAGGATCAAGACCAAATATAAATGTTTACTTGGCAAATGGTTGGGCTAGAAATGTAGATTTTTTGGAGTCACAAATTAGAGAAACAAAAAAAAGAAAGAAAGAAAACATGAGAAAAACAAATGGAATATGAAACAAAAAAATTATTTTAAAATGCCTTGAGTGTCCATAAGAGACTGCTAGCAATAACTTTGAGGGCTGTGGCACCCATAGAATGGAGAGGGTGGAAGATCTACTTCATAAAGATTAAATGAGGAAAGGAGAAGGGAAATCAAAGAAAGAAAATTCTAAAAACTCTAAAAGCTTTTGTTTTAGGAGAGGTAGCAATGCTTATTTTTAGAGTGTCCGAGCTGAGTACTCATTTAAAACACAATGATTTTTTTCAAAAAATGAAAAAGTAAAGAAAAATAATAAACTTAAGACATTAGATTTGAAATTTATGAAGAATGAGAATATAACTTAAAATACAACAAAGAAATAAGTTCTGATAGTCTCTAACTTCAGCTTATGTTAAAAATATAACTGGTGAAAAATGCACTATACAGGAAAAATACAAGGAGCAGGCTCCTACAAGAGCTGAAATAAAAATTATATATTTTATAGACATGTAGCAAAAAAATGACTATTTTTAATGCACATGAATTTTTTAAAAAGAAAATCTTTGTGATTTTCTTAAAACTGAAAACTCAATGTGTTTGAGCAATTCATATGTGTAATTTAAATCATTGTTGGACACTTTATTATAATTACTAAATACTTCAAAAACTGAAAGTTTCTCATAATTGGGGAAATTCCAAATGTAACTACAATTCAACTAATAGCTGAAATCAATTAAGAAAACGTGTTCACTTAAAAAAGTACTTAATCTTATTTTTGAAATGCAAGTCAGAGTTTGTGTTTCTCACTATCCTATGTGTATGTATGTGTGTTTAAGAAAAAAATTTTAAATGGGGTGGAGAGAAGGCCATTTACTTAACTGAAACAGTGCTCCCTACTGTTTCATTCTCACAAGTCCAAGAACAATTTGTCCTATAACAAGAGGACTTGAACACTAGCTAGAAAAAACAAAACCAACTGAAAGAAAAGAAAAAAACCCACTCTTATAAATAATTTTTTACTATGTTGTCAAAAATGGCTATTCTTGAAAATGTTCATTCTAATTAATCTCTGGGAAATAAACATGAAACATTAGAGCTACCATCTAACAACTGCATTTATTCCAGAGGTTATTTGAAGTTGGCTTTAACAACCGTGCAAACCAGGTCAAGTCTTAAAGTTTCCCAGGAAAGACCAACTTCCCTCTTCCTTTTCAGCTGTCAATTGTCAAGACCACAAATGAGTTTACATCTCTATCTTTTATCCCTCAACTTACGATTGTACTGAAGAAACAAGGCAACGGCGTGTTGTAAAGAAGGGACAGGTGAGTTCTTAGAAGCATCAAGAACTAAATGCGAGCCCACTTGCCTCTCTACCTAGCCATGTGGTCAAGAGGTCAGTTTGCTTAGCTTTCCTTGGTCTTACCATCTTTTACTATATAATTAAGATTTTGTGCCACATTGTTCATTTTTCTACCCTTTTCAAGCCCAGAGATTCTGAGATTAAACTAAATTTACATGTGTAAAACAGAAAACTCTACCATAATAGGGTTGTGGAGTAGAGGGACAGCTGAACACCATCCAATCAGTTTCCCATGCTCATTGCCCATGCCTCTCCTAGGATTCTGGTTACTTTCCTGATAATTCTTATGGCTCTATGGATCACAATTTGAAAACTGTATGATGGTATTATCTCTAAGGTTGTCACCAGCTCTAAAATTCAGGATTCTATGAAGACAAGTCTAACTCCGACCCTCATCCATTTGGGAGCCAGGTAAAACAAGAAGCTTCCATGGTTTTATGCTTAGTCTGAAGTCAGGGTGCTCTTCGAGGGATAGACTCTTGGAGGATATGAGAATACGGTCTTCAAAGCAAGCGAATTCTAGAGATTTGTTTTCCAGTGTTACTCACTGTGATATGACACCAAACACAATGCAGTCCTGTCAGGCCCTGGTAACATTTGACAGTTTTATGGCACTTATCACACTTGGTTGGGCAGTTGCCTTCAACCCAATAATGGTGCATGACCTAGAACAGAACAAGAGTGGGGTTGTAAGAGGAGGCTCCCATAAACACCACCCTCAGAAAGCCAGCACTGCCACACACTTACATCAGTGTTCTTCTTGGACTTCACATAGGTCTTGATGCAAGAAGGAGGCGCTCTAGCCACACAGCGCTCATGCACTGTGTACTTACAAACTGCAACGAGACATGAACACAAATTCAGAACTCATCCTGGTCCTGATTGCAGTTTTATAGGGAAAGAATGACATTAACAGAATCTCATTTCATATCCACTGCTCCCTAATCAATCCAATCAGCCACATCAAGGGAAAGTCCAAGTCGACTGTTTTTGCCATGGAATACAAAAGACCAATTAGCACAGGAAATATTATGCATGTGAAAAAACAAGACTCCTCTATCATGGCATAGCAGGAAATGCTTAATTAAATCAGAACTCCCTCAAATTTTTCACAATCACTTCCAGATGACAAAAATATTAAAGACAAATTGATGACTGCCAAATGGCTTGGTGTCATTTGCTAGAAAAGGAGATCTATATTTTACAAAGTATAGGCATGAGAGCAGCTGGCAGGCATGGGAATAAAAGCCCATGAGTTTATGCTATTTGGTCTATTGATTTATCTAAACCTTAAATGGCTGGTTAGTCTATTTCCAGAGAATAGATTTCATCATCTATGCCAGGCCTTTAGGGACAGCTCATCACTTGTTTGTCATGATGGCACTGTTTGTCCAAAAGGAACAACTTTTGCTAGGCAGCATGTGATAAAAACATATACACAAATGCAAACATTTCTATTTATATGCAAATGTGTATCTATACACATGCAAACATATATATGTATGTGTGTATACATGTAAATTTGATGTAAAACCAAGATATATCTGTCATTGGCATCTTCAAATTATTTCATAGCTTGGTTTTGAAAATAACTTAGGGTCATATGCAGGTGTTCTTTTAATCAAAAAACAATTAAGAGTTCTAAATGCATTAATATATAGAATAAAAATTAAATCTAAAACAACCATGTAGCCCTCTTAACAAAACAAACAAAACTAACCACTGCTTACATTAGAATGAAAAACTCTAAATCCACATGATATTTATATAGCAAAACTTTTCCATATTATCCACAATTGTGATTTCCTTTGGCACCACTGAGGAAGAAAACACACTTTTTCCTCTCCCATATTGACAATAATGTTAAGGTATTGCATTTGCCACACTAATCACTTAAAATTTGTGAGCAAAAATTCTCACTATATAACCACTCTCACCTTATTAGAAAGTAATTTTACTTCTTATGCTCCCATCAATAAAACCTACCATGAAAAATTATTTTTCTTAAAAATAATAGAACTTTGGCCTCTCTGGCATGGCTCAGTGGTTCAGCATAGACCTGCAGGCCTGGAGGTCACAGTTTGGTTCTTAGTCAGGGAACATGCTCTGGTTTGGGGCTTGATCCCCAGTAGGGGCCATGCAGGAAGCAGCCAATCAATGACTCTCTCTCATCCTTGATGTTTCTGTCTCTCTCTCCCTCTCCCTTTCTCTCTCTGAAATCAATAAAAACATATTTTTAAAAAAATACTAGAACTTTAAAAACAAAGTACTTCTCCTATACATGGAGAATGTTCTAGTGAAACAAGCCTTTCAAATGTAACCATCAGAAACTGCCCTCTAAAGTCAACATCTGGCAATTTCATGTAATTTATTAAAATCCTTAAATGTGAAATCACTTAAACATGGCACTGAAATGTGTTTTTTAACATCAAACAATACATCTGAGATAAGGTCAATTCCCAAATATACTACCAAAGCTGCTCACTGAAAATAATACCTGAAAATGACATATTGTGTGGAAGCCAAGTAGGAAATTCAATTTAATATAAATACACAAAAATGGGATGTGTTTAATAAAATTGACAGTTTCAGAGCAGAAAAAATGTAGATGGACAAACTGCTGGACCAAGACAACTTCACACTTTGTGAGGAGAACACAATATCCCCCCTGTTTTAACAGCGGTATCAGGAAACGTAAAGTTTCTCAGGCCTACGTGGTATAGATTGAAAAATACTTAAGTGACTTATAAATTAATTGTAAACTATTAGAAAATGAAAATTGCAACGATAAATGTACTGAAATGAAAATACTGGCCACACAACTCGTAAGTTGGCAAGGCTCTGGGTTCCAATACCCATTAATCGCATGGGGAAGAGATTCTTCATAATAGCACTAAAAATAATGTGCCTGAGTTGGAAGATTAGTTTGCATTTCTTGTGATTTCTTAATTTGAATACAAATTGACAGTCATTTAATTCAACTGTTTTTTAAAAGACCTGAAGGAACTGGCTCGTTATGAGAAGCCCATGTGAATAAAGCAGCTACATTAGGAAGCAAAAGGGGATAAATCTGTGTTAGATATAAATAAGAGAAACTAGAGGAAATTGTTATCATCATCTCAGTAGAAATGGAAACAACAAATAGATTAAACTACAGTGGAAACACAAGGGCCAGCGGGTTGGAAAATGTCCTGGGCTCTTTTCTAAGTGAGGGTTTTCCAAGACTGAAGAAAAGTTAACAGGAGAGTGACCTAAACATGCGGAGAGGGAAGAGCGAGCGGTGGTGGCAGGAAGGGTCAGGGTCACCCCGGGGCCTCCGTCCGCAGACAGGACCGTTCCGTGTGTGTCAGCCCCCCCTCCCCGAGGGGTGCGGGGAGAGGCGGGGCAGGGCAGATACTCACAGGAGCAGCAGAGGCCCTGCTTCCCCACCCCGATGAGCATGTTCAGACAGAGGTTGCAGTAGGCGGGCTTGTTGAAGTGCTTGAGCCTCCACACGTGCTGGCCGTCATCCTTCACGTTCTGCGGGAGGCAAGGGACACAGATTGCACTCGGGAGGGAAACAGGGCAGTGGTGGCCAGCGACACTCAGGGCGGGCCTGAAGCACGCGATGGCCATCTGTCCCTTCACCCCCGGCTTTCCCAAGGTCGCCGCAGGGTCTCGAGAAACACATGTGCTCTGGTGGAAGGAGATCCTGCCAACAAGTCTCCGGCTACAGCAGCCCACAGATTCCTGTCTAATGTCAGCGGTTCGACGGCATGTCCCCAACCCGAGGGACGCGTCTGCCTCGACGCTGGATACGTTATCCTAAGCCCAATTCTATAAACGAGTAAATGAATAAAGAAAGGGAAAAAGAGTGAAAGCTTGGAAAGAAGATGTTAACCCTTGCGTAGCAGCTGGGATTTGCACGAAAGATGAAGGATGGGATGACAAGGAATGATACTTAAAGGTCAGCCACTGGTGCTATTTTAAGGCTTCAGTTGGGACTTCCTTCCATATTACAGTTTATATAAATATATTTTTATATGTCTCCACTAGTAACTTTTTAAAATTAAACTTTTTTAACGACCTAAATTGAAATAATCATTTTGTTTCCTCTTTTTTGGTAAAATATGAATAATTTTAATCTCATAGAAAGGTAGTAAAATATTAACACTGCATGACTATCCTTATTTATAACGATCACTATAGTTATTTGCCACAATAAAACCTTAAGTTTAAATTAATTCACATGTTTGCAGAACAGCTGCAATTATTATTTATTTTTCTAAGTAAAACGCTATATAATATCATAATAGCTACTTCACTAATAGGTATTTAATCACATCTGCATTGTTTAAGATTAAAGTAAAATTAAATAATGATGCATGCTTATGACTGTCCTGAGCTCCTTTGAAAGTTTAAATGTATTAAATGAACTTATTGCATATCATCACTTTGTTACCATTATTTTCTCATTAACATCTAGTCCTTATATGTTATTCACCAAATTATATCAAATTAAATTAATTTTAGACGTCATTTATTGGTATTCTATCAAAACTATTATAAGTCATAATTGGCCAAGTTGTAGTATTTCTTAGAATGCATTCACCTGGTCATTTTTTTTTTTTTTTAAATATATCTTTATTGATTTGAGAGAGAGGAAAGGAGAGGGAGAGAGCGAGATAGAAACATCAATGATGAGTCATTGATCAAGCCCACAACCCGGGCATGTGCCCCGACCGGGAATCGAACCTCGATCGCCTGGATCCCAGGTTGACTCTCAACCGCTGAGCCACGCCCGGCCGGGCTCACCTAGTCATTTTTTGAGCATGTGCTGGGGCACATACTAATTCTATAGTAGTGGAACAATGTAAGCGATCATCTTGTTTCTCTTTATTAAAAGATGTTAATAATGTTTCCTAACCATTTTTTTCTTACTCCCAGTCAAGAGATACACCACCAGATTTGTAGAACCAGATTAGATCCATAGTAACTAATTCTTACATTAGAACCAGAAATGTCAAATTTGCATCGTAATATGAAACATTAGTGGAAATGCTTCCTGGGAGATAATTCTCCATGGGTCTCTTAAATTTCTGCACATTTTGTAAGCAGAAGACTGTCCTTTTTTTCCAGGCTATCTTTTCGAAGATATTTGAATAGCAAACAGCTTTAGACAACACAGCTATGTATCCCCCCAGAGCAGAGGGTGGGTAAAATAAAAATCCAGTAAAATAAAAATCTCTCCCATCTCAGCAAAGATTAAGCAGGTTTGTTGACGGCACATTATAAAAACTTCAGTTTCCCTCAGACAAGGTTTCAAGCTCTGACGGTCTGCACAGGAATCACCTGGGTCGCACTTTGTCACCCTTCTGAGACCCCGTGGGCCCCGAGGACTGGCTCGGGCATGGAGCTCCTGTTTGCTTCGTTTCTCTGACTCAGGAGTCTCATGTCCTCGGCCAGCATCCAGAATGAAACCGGCAAGGTAACTTGTTAATTTGTAAATCAGCTAAATTTCAGACCCCTTCACAGTTCTGGACCGTGCTCCGATTCATTTTCTTGACAAATGAGAAACAAGCTCTCAACAACAGCAATTATGCAGACGGTGTCATGGAGAGGACTTCAGAAGACAGAAGTGTTTTAATTTTCTTCCAAAACTTATGAAATAGGCTTTGTAGGGATTTCTGGATCCAGCTCTTGTTTGTTTGAGTCATAAGATTTCTAGTATGTTTATTATATGAATAGAATGCGTTGTATAACTGTTGAACGTTGCTATATTTTCCAAACTATTTTTTAAATTTCTGTTCCTTCAAATAAGAATAAAACATCCTGATGTGAGAAGTTCATGTAATGGGGTTGTTAATTTTTAAAAAAACATACTGATAAAGTTAACAGTTTAATGCTTAAAAATATTTTTAAGCTGAAAAGAAGGAAAAATCCAATTTTGATATGTATTGCTGTTCTGATAATCCTTGTCATTTTATTTTTTAAGTGATTGTCCATTACATGTGAATTAGCCTCATCTGTTGAAGAGCACATATGGACTAAGTTAGCTGGCATTTCCCTTATCAAAAATAAACAAGTCTGAGCGTGGGTGTTCTGTCAATCAGAACACTTAGCCATGTTACAGGCTGCAAGTGATGTACAAATCCATTACCCGGACAGAAAATGCTTTACCAAAAAACAAATTAAATAGCTTTATAGCTCTTAGCCGGATGTATTGCCAAAATATGCAAAAGATGAAATATGTATGTGACTTCAAGAGAAGAAATTGGAACCAGGAGCCAACTGCTTCTCAGCAGTGCGAATTATACTCCAACTCTCCATATTTTCATGTCTTGTCTTGTTTGTCTTATTAAGATTGTAAACTTGGTGGGGGAGGAGGAGAATCTGTCCCTTGCTCTGTTCTATCAGCCAGTTGAGCATGTTCCTATTAGTCCTTCTGTTGCCAATAAATATTTATTGTCAGAGAAAGGAATTCGTTTTCATAGGAAAGACATGGGGAGGAAATGTGGATGGCTTGATTCCTGGCCTCCTCTGAAAATGTGGATAAGTCAATTCACCTCTCTTCTTATTTTCCTCTCTAATAAAATGAAAGTACCCACTTTTCTCCCCCAGGCCGTGGTGTGAGCTTTCATTATAAAATATCTGTGAAGTCAGTTTAGTTCCTTAGAAGACTGGTGTTATATAAACAGCAAATATGATTAACGTTGTTGGGTTGAGTTGTGTAACATTCCAAAGTTTCAGCCTAAAGATTTCAGAAGGATGTTTGCAGGTTTACCATACTTTATTTCATAAAAATTTTGTTCCCATAGTTTTTTCATAAAAATGTATTCCTGATATTTAGAAAGTATTGCACTTTTTTAATGAAGCAGTTCAGCTACGTGTTTACAACAGAGATATAAAACCTAGGCAAGTTTACGTGGAGAAACTCTGGGGTCTTCCTCTCCTTTTAATCCCCTAGATGTCAAAAAGAGGTTTCAAAGGGGAAAATGTCCTTTGGAATTTTTGAAACCTATTTTAGTATCAGCAGTGATATCTAAAGTTTCAGGGGTTTTTTCCCCCTGAACACATAAAATCAAGATCACATATAGTGTTCATCTGAACTAGGACTATTATAAATAATATCATATTTTTAAAGACCTCAAGGAGACATTTCACTGAGGTCACAGCCAAAATGATCCTATCCTCCCACACCTAGCTATATCCTGTTTCAACTGACTTCAGTTATAACATATAGAAGAGCTAGTGTTGCAAATTGATTCCAACTCATTAAATAATAAGCACCATTAAATTACCTTACTTTCCTAGAAATATGAAAGAAACTTCTCCTTTAGACTAAATGATAAGCTCTATCAGACCTGGGCAAAGGGAATGCAGGGAAAAGTTTTAAAATTCTGACTGGAGTTGCAATCAGCTCCTTATCTGCATATCACACTGTCTGAAGTCAGGCTCAGACCCTGCCATCCTCGAGGTTCAAATGCGAACTCAACGGGGCGCACTCCCGTAGTCATTCCCACTGAATGACTTAATCTGGAATCTCAAGGACTGTTGAATTTATCCAGCTTCCTAATTCCTTTCTAGATTGAGCAATGTATGAACAGAAGAACAACATTTCAACCAAATTTAATTTTATAAATAGAGTATAAAACATTAGTTTTCCAAATACAGCTTAGAAGACAGCATCTCCTACCCTACATCACACTGAAAAATTTCACCAGGGATCACATTTCATCCGCAATCAGGAGGCAAGCNTCCCTGCCAGTCATTCTGGATAGACAAAGAGACGTTAGTCAAGAATATCCCTTCTCTTCTAATATTCTTTCAGTACAGACATTCCTTTTCCTAGAAAAAGAAGATAATAATGCTTAAATTCCTGAAACCTGTAGTCTTAGGTTTTTACTAGATTTTTCAAGCAAAATTTCTAAAATTATATTATTATATAAATAGGAATACATATTTAAATAGGAGCCTTGCTTGAAATCAAAATATATATCCCATTCTAAAATCAGACAGATCAGATGTGAGCACAAAAATTCAAGATTAAGACCTTAAGGTAGCTTTATTTCAAGCAAGGCTCCTATTTAAATATGTATTCCTATTTATATAATAATATAATTTTAGAAATTTTGCTTGAAAAATCTAGTAAAAACCTAAGACTACAGGTTTCAGGAATTTAAGCATTATTATCTTCTTTTTCTAGGAAAAGGAATGTCTGTACTGAAAGAATATTAGAAGAGAAGGGATATTCTTGACTAACGTCTCTTTGTCTATCCAGAATGACTGGCAGGGAAAACATGAGCCAGTTAAAAACAGAGTCAGGGGAGAGACCGACTTGATGAAGTTCACTGTTACCCTGCCCTCTCTTCATTACTCCTCATGTCTTTCTGAGGGTTTCTAATTGAGCTAAAATAAAAGGTATTCGATTCCTTTCTCCTAAATGGCTAAAATCAAATTTAAAGTCTTCGTGTTTGTAATATGAGAGATTAGTGATAGGATAAATAGGGGTCAGCAAACTCTGGCCCTTGGGGCAAATCTGACCATCCGCCTGGTTCTGTAAGTAAAGTTTCCCTGGAGCACAGTCTTGCTCTTTCATTTGTGCAGTGTCTGGGATTGCTTTTGCTCTTCCCTGTAGAACTAAGCAGGCACAACAGAGACCTATGTCCCACAAAGCCGAAATTATTATCTAACTGTCCCTTTACAAAGTTTGCCAATTGCTAGAGCAGTTTCTTACTAGACACAGTTATTTTTTAAAGTTCATTCAAATTTGAGATAATCTTAAAAATAATTTTTCTCAATGAGGCAAATACCAAAGAAAGAATAAGTCTCAGGTATAAATTTTTATTGTAATCAAAATTGCATATGCCGCCCAAACTCCCTATTTTCCATCGGAACTAAGAGACGGTACCACTTCATGTTGGGTATCATTAAGTGTGACGAACTTCTTGTAAAAGAAAGGAAATGACTCTTCCTCTCTATCTTTAGATATAGACATGTTCCAATAAACTACATTGCTGATTTTGGCACTGACAGCTATTATTTAAAATAGAATAGCTTTTAAAATTCGTCTAATGGCCCGGCCGGGCTTGGCTCAGCAGTTGAGCATCGACCTAGGATCCAAGAGATTGTGGTTCGATTCCCGGTCAGGGCACATGCCTGGGTTTTGGGCTCAGTCCCCAGTCGGGGGCGTGCAGGAGGCAGCCGATCAATGACTCTCTCATCATTGATGCTTCAACTCTCTCCCTCTCCCTGCCTCTCTCTGAAGTCAATAAACATATTTCTTTTTTAAAAAAAATGTTTAATGGAGAAAAATAAACTACAATAAAAATCACAGCTGCTCTGCCTTATATTAGAAGTGAGGATTGCTCTCCCAGGACAATATTCTTATCTGTGTAATTTAGCTAGTACACCAGTCACTTTGAAATACACTGTGGGATTTAACATGCACTGTCAATTAGAATCTACTCCCTAAACGCATAATTGACAACAGACAAGAATATATAGAACAACATAACAAGACGGGCCCNGTAAAAACACCATGTTTTGGACTGTTTCTAACAAATAGATGCTCTGTTTTGTGATCATAATTACATGGCCTATGCAGTTTTATTAAATAAAAAATTAAAATATTATTGGCCCATTTTTTAAAAAATATAAAGAATATTACTCTTAGAATTTTTCTGTGCAGGGGAAAATTGAATCTCGGTTGTTGACTTATAAATTTTAAACAATGTAGCCCTGCCATCTAGTGGCCAACACTGGGAATACACCTGCAGAGCATATTTGGTTACTTTGAAACCCTAAATTGATTTTTCCTATTAAGCTCCCAAAACGCAGTATCTTGGTACTAAAAACATAAAATACAAATGTAATAACAGGATTATAAAGGAAATTATGTATCATAAGTAACCTGATGAACACTAATGGCAAATAACTGTCATTCAGTTGAAATAAAGTTACTGCTATACTAGAAACCGATAAGGTACTGTCTATTTGTTTAAAATATTTTGAGTTAAATCCATAGAGATTATGGACCATATTTACCCATGCCATTTTCATGACTTCACAAATATCTGTATTTACGAATCAAATTGAAATGAGTAGTTTCCAAAGGAAAACATCTTTTCAAAATCTTTCTGTGATATTTCAAGTATAGAGAGCTGTCTTCATTTACTTTTCTGTCCAATCCCCTGACTACCAAAAGGCTTAGTCACTCATTCCTGCATCTTCTCTCATTCCCTCATACTAGAATTTCCATCAATGTTTAGAATAATAAACAAAATTTTAGCTTTAAAAATATAAAATTCCCTCTAGGGAACCATTATTATTAGAACTTCTTGACTAGTCACTTGGCAACTATTTTTCAGTATGAGTAGACACTAAGCCTTAAACTGTTAACATTGCCAATTTTCTTTCTGTTTTCTCCCAATAGCCTGATTTCATATGTTTTATCCAAAGGTATATCAAACAATTAAACTAATATTTATAATACAGAGAAATATAATTAATTATTAGAAAAAATTGCTAGTTATGTATAAAAAAATCAGGTATAAGATTAAATTACCTACTTTAAGGGTAATTTCCTATATATCATCCATTAGCAATTTTTCTTTTCCTTCCTCTGATCATGTCTAAAATCCCACAGGCCTCATAAAGGGTTAAGATTAACCTGAATGTAAAAGAATTTGAAGATTCAGGTGTAAAAGGGACAAATGCTACTGTCCAAAGTCCATTTATATATTCCTAAACCCATAAGTAAATATGTACAAACACATTTGTATGCACTTTCACATGTTTTACACACAGACTGTAAGATTTCTTGAGATTGGCTTTTAAAGTTTTTGGTATATTGCATATCTGTGGTATAGTCCTGAATCCACAAGATTATTATTGCCGGTAATAAGAAGTGTGAAGAGTGTTGGAGTCAGCAGCAAAGTGGTGGACACTATGCTCTTGTATCTCAAAAACTCTCAATATTCTACATGTCATGGTGCTTTCCATTAGAAATGCTCTTTGAATCTAAGCATACATTTTACACGNAAAGTGGTGGACACTATGCTCTTGTATCTCAAAAACTCTCAATATTCTACGTGTCATGGTGCTTTCCATTAGAAATGCTCTTTGGAAAAGCATACATTTTACACTATCATATTATAGTTAATTCTTGTTTGACCATTAATGCTAAAAACAAAAATCTAGTATTGGGTTGGGTGTTTTGACTCTTACTGAAATTCATATCAAGTCTGGGGAGCAAGATTTGGTTTCAAAGTGCCTATCATATCACAGTTTTAATTTAGGTTATCTATTTTATTCCCCTAAACCAGTATTTAATTACCACTGGAGGCACTGATAAAAGAAAACTTTTGACAGGCTTGACACAAAAGCCTCGCTGATCTGCTCACAGGTAAGAAAAAAGTTGCATGTGTGTGTCTGTGTGTGTGTGTGTGTGTAGCTTCTTAACCACATCGATGTATAATTGGCTCCTCCAAGTACTACTTATCAACTAAATATGTTGTCTTCATAGGGAGAAGAAATATTGGTATGGGATGGAGAACCACAGAATGCAGTAATTTAGGGTTTCTTGCACTAGATAAAATGAAATAGTCAATGATGTTTACAAACCAGATTATACCTTACATAGAGGGAAAAAAGAGAGACGTGACCTGTTATGACAACTTGCTATATAGGGAGTTACTGTTAAAATGCACTGGAGCATACTTATTAAAAGGTCCAGGCACTTACCACATGCTTACTGGTAGAAAATAGCCTGATCAAGTTATTATCAAATGTACACTAGGGAACTCCACTGCCTTACCACAAGGCTCCCCCCGGTGTAAATGCTTACGTTCTCCAAACCTAGGAGCACAAGCAGTGGGATGGTCGTCATTCCTCCTTGGATCCATTCCTCCAGGGAAACGGTCCCATCATGATCGTAGTCGATTTCTTCCATCATTTCATGAAGGATCTGAAGCAGAGGAGTAGAGGGAAACCTTGCAATAAATCAATAAAATACATTTCAGATGATACAACGAAGCACTGCATTGGATGGGCTGTAACTGTGACTAGCAGCTAAGCGGAGAGTTGAAATAAATATCTAGGTAGCTTTGTACAATATTAATCCTACCACTGAGAACATAGTGGCTTTGTTTTGATTTCTAGAACCTGACTACATTCACTGATCAACTTTTAAAAATAATTGCTCAGCCCGGCCAGCGTCACTCAGCGGTTGAGCATCGACCTAGGATCCAGGAGATCGCTGTTCGATGCCAGGTGAGGGCACATGCCCGGGTTGCGGGCTCGGTCCCCAGTGGGGGGCCTGCAGGAGGCAGCTCATCAGCGACTCTCATCATTGATGTTTCTCTCTCTCTCTCTCCCTCTCCCTTCTTCTCTCTGAAATCAATAAAGACATATAAAATAATAATAATTGCTCAACTTTTTCATACATCAGCCCTGAATGATCCAGCTAAAACAAGAAGAAATCTTTAATTTAAAAGTAAAAATTAAATTGCTTTCTCTCTATTATTTTTTAAATTTAAATATATGCTAGATAATGTCTGAACAAATTAACTTCATGGCAAAGAGCTGAAAGAATTCTTTGCTAAGTGGTAAAAGGCAGGGAAATTAAGTTGCATTTAATTGCCTATCAGAACTTTATAGAGTCAAGAAGTTAAACAATCAAGTCACTTTTGATTAGATTTTTTTTCTGAAGATGACTTGCACAATGTCCCAAAATGTTCCCCACAGTCTGTGTTGGTAATACCCTTGGTTGTATAGCAGTAATAACAGTATTTGATTCAAAGGTTTGTTGTAAGGGTTAAACATGTTAATATAGGTATCCTTTGAAGAGCATCTAGCATATATAGTAAGTGTGGTATAGGTGTTGCTAGTGTTATATTAGCAGAAATTATATGTGAGTTTCAAATATATTACCGTTGGCTCTGGGACCACCTCACTGCATCACAATGGCAAACACAGCAGAGTTCCAATGAGGAAAGTAACTCACCATCTTTATCTAATGTGGACATGTCCATCAATACCAAAAATAAAATTAAAATTAAAAAAAGAAATCCAGAGAGCATTAGAACAAAAATTTGATAGCGGTATTGTTTGCCTAAAATTCCTGAACTTGCCCAGCTGGGTGTGGCTCAGCGCTTGAGAGTCGACCTAGGATGCAGGTGATCAGGGTTCGATTCCCGGTCAGGGCACATGCCTGGGTTGCAGGCTGCAGCCGATCAATGACTCTCTCATCATTGATGTTTCTGTTTCTCTCTCTCTCCCTCTCCTTTCCTCTCTCTGAAATCAATAAAGATATATTTAAAAAAAATAAATAAAATAAAATAAAATTCCTGAACTTGGTTTACTAGTGTCTTCCCTCAGAAAGTATGTGAAAATCAGACTATTTTCCTTCAGAACAAACTCATAGGTATTGGAAAGAAGGAGACCTTTTTGGTTCAAAATGATGGTAAACTAATTATTTCATTATCCTCAACATGAAACACAGGGGGAATTATTTTGAATTTGGCAAAAAGCAAAAGATCTTATTACAATGCCCTGCCCTTTGAGGGCACGCTGGCGAGCTAGGAAAATTAATAAATCAGAAGAGAGCTAAAGCACAGAGCCTGGCTCCCGATGGCCGGTGCTTTTATTTTCTACCTAATCGTCTAATGGTAGAGGCTGGGGTAAGGTTTTGAGTTGTTTTGTAAGTCCTTCCAAGGACATCTCAGTCTTCCCTTCGGCCTGCCAGCAACCTCAAATGCTGAATTCTCCTTCTTCACACCCACAGTCACCTGTGGCCTGCGAGGAACACGACTGCACACACGTGTCTAAACTGGGGAGACCTGCGGACCCATCGGGCAGAGAGCCTGTCCCTGCGACAGCAAACGCGACGCACAGGGCGAACCACGAGAGACAAATAATGCTACAGAGCTTATTCTTCGCACTTCCAGTAGGTATCTGTCATAATTAGGCGGCCTCGCCACCGACTGTTTCCTTCCTGACAGCCGCCATCTCCCCCTTTTTCTCACATCCATGCCCCACTCACTAATATTTTGTTTGGGGAGAAGCGGGGCCCACTTCCGCTTCGAAAGCGGATAGAAAAAGACCCCCACCCCCTCTCACACTCCAGGGAGGACAAGAGGCACGACTGTAGACAACTAATGGTCACAGCGATTGAGGCAAGTGGGACGGGGAAAGTTGCGCTAGGTTACCACAGCCAAAAAGGACACCAGAATGGATCACGCGTCCCTTGGTGTCAGTGCAAATAGTATTAGCAGCATTCTTAGAGTTGAATGCATGTTACCATTGATTTTATTATCCCATACAGACCACGACACTGTTACGTATCTGAGCTCACCATGCACAGCGTGTGTCCTCCTCAGTACATGCCATTGCACGTGACTTTGTTGTACTTTTTTGGAAGGAGTTTGCAAAGAAAGGAAAACGCTGTCACAGCTCTCACGTCACATAATCATGCTATTAACTGCATAAATGTGAATAGTGTTTGGAGAATAGGCTTTTTGAGTTCAAATAAAATATAAACCATTCAAATAAAATTGATTTTTATTTGCTTAAATCAGGTACAATTTGGTAAACCTAGTTGGTTTCAAAAATAAACTAAAAAGCAGTAACACTTATTAACTCTCCCCAAAAACTTACTTGTGACTAAAGTCAGTTTCTAATTAAGTATGTTCTAATATACATTTGAATTATGTTGTAACTTTGGCGTAAACCTATTAAAAATAAGAAGTGTTTATGTTCTTATAAGCAATGCTAGATACTGTTTCTTTAAATGATTTGATTAAAATCCTAGCTTATCTGTAACTAGCTGAAGAGTAACTTTACCATTTGGGGATTTCAATCTCCTAATCTGCACAATGAATAGAATAGTAGCATCTGCCTCGGAGAGTCGCAAGCTCTAAATGACACACGTACAAAAGATAGCAGAACACACTGTGCACAGTAAGCTATCGTCATCAACATCCCCTTTTTTAAAGTTTATTTATTGATTCCTAGAGAGAGGAAGGGAGAGGGAGAGACAGACACATCGATCGGCTGCCTCCTGCACGCCCCTTACCGGGGATCAGGCCTGTAACCAAGACATGTGCCCCGACCTCCCGGGAATGGCACCCGCAACCTCTCGGGGCACAGGACCACGCCCCCCACGGAGCCACCCCAGCCAGGGCCACCGTCTTCTTAATCACCTCACCCTCCTTCAGAACAACTACTTTACCAATTTCCACGTAAGGACAATCACAGAGATAACAACATACATAAATTCTGATTTTTTTATGGCCTGACAGTGACCGTGTCCGTCAGCGGCTTCTACTTATCTGCACGTATGTCAGACCACCACTCCCAGTAATTTCCCGAAGGAAGAAAAGCAGAAGTTACTGCTGAGAGTTTCAGAACACCACAGACACCCTTCCTTGTTCAAGGTCCACTTTGCCTACTCATTAGAAATAACATCGCAGAGTTATCAAGAACAATGAAACGGCAGTAATGTATTAGGCTTCCAAAAAGGACAAAAGAGAAAGGTGCCTTCCAGAACTTAGCCAACGGTGAAATCGTTCTACACCTACTGGGTTAAGCTCGGTGACGTCCCATTCGAGGTACTCGGCCACGTGCATCATCTGACTGATGATGTTTTCTAGTTCCTGGAGCGCAGAGGGACGGACAAAGAGAAGGGGAGAGAAGGGAGACGGTCAATACAAAGTCCCAGCAAATCTGTTAATTTTCACTTACTGGAACTGTTTGTTGAACAGGTAGCCCCAGAACTGAATGAGTTAGATGATTGCATATATATATATATAAATGTCTGGTTACCTATATATAAAAGAGCCTAACTATAAATTCATTTTGTACTTTGTCTAAAAATCTTCACCAGGAGGGGGCACAACTGTACAAAGAAAGAGTTTCTTCTCGTAAAAAAGTTTTAATAAAGAAACTCTCTGGACGGGAGCATCTGATGAAAAGGGGAGTGTGCATGTTTTCACAGGATGGGATTTTTAAGTCACTGAGTATCCTGACCTTTTGGCTTGAAAGCTGGTGTGGAAGGAAGTGTCTGAGGTTTATTTTTATTCTGGTACAACTGAGAATGAATGCTGACTGTTCTAGCCATTTATTAGGATAATTTTCTCTGCTCAGAGGAGTCTTCAGGGTCAAGATTGGGAGGCTAAGTACCTGTGGAGTTTATTTTATGAGGGGATAGAATTCTAGTTTGAATTGACACATTATTCTATTCAAACGTCCACTCTTTGAAGAATGGCTAATGAATACATATGGCTTTGTTAAATGAATTAAAACATTTTTATATCTGTTTATGTAGTGTTCTAATTTATTCCCATCTCCAGAAAAGATGAAGAGTACATTGTAAATGCTAGTAATTTTTAATGTAGTCAATGACATAATTAAAAGTGGTGTTATACATGGTAATTTAAAATAAAAGTATAAAAGAATGAGTCTTGAAAGTATATTAATTAAAGATTATTCTACTCAAATATCTGGTCTAATGTATACAGTTAATATTTATTGAATCAGGATTGAAATATAGTAGAGTGGTTTTCTTTTGGGGGGATCATAGATCCTTCTGATAAAAGCTACACTCTCTCCTGAAAAGATGTAATCATGAAAATGTTATTTATGTAACTAAAGTGTGTGTGTGTGTGTGTGTGTGTGTGTATTTATTGCAGATAAGAAAAAATTTAAACATGAATCCCTTGGAATTATGTGCTAGAATGGTGTGTGTGTATCTTTAATGTACATTATTTTTGCATATATACACCTTAATGGTTTAGAATGGTTAGTCTCTGGATATGTTTTTAGGGATGGAAAAAATTGGGGGTGGGTTATTTTGTAGGTTTCTGACATTAGCTAAGTCATTTAACCTGTCTTAGACTCAGTTTGTTAATCAGTAAAAATATATTTTTTAAATATTCTAAGCTTACCTAGTTTGTACAGTTGCTGTAAAGATTAAATATGCTTTATATAAAATGCATTTATCTTTCCTGCCATATTACAAGTGATCAATAAACATTAACTAATATTATTAGACATAGTGGTGATTTTTCAAAGTATCAATGTTCCTGTTTTGCCTTCATTATTATGAATTGCCACACCTTTAAATTTCTAAGACAAATGACATCAGAAGGTGCAATTTCATCCTAATATTAAAGGAAATATACTGAGACAGTAAATTTTGTGGAGAACCATAGAAATTAAATCCAGACCTTTAATTATAAAACAAACAAAAAACTAGTTTAATCATAACCAAATATATTTATACCCAACTCATTGTTTAATATTGCAAATATAGTCACAAATATTATTAATAACTTACTATATGTTAACAAAAAAAGACAGATATCAAAAAGAGCGTTTGATGAAATTTTCAAATCAACTGCCAACCCATGGCTAAAAGCCTAGTAAAGAAACACATCTGCAGTGAAATTATCATTTGCATTAGTGTAGTCAGAAGTGCTACAATAAGCATATTGAAATATCTAAAAAAAAATCTAAACTCCTAGCTGCGAAATGCCACCAGAAATTGAGCAAGTGTATCATGTAGCTCAATATTCCCAAATAGAAAAATGAACACCACGAGGCACACAGAAAGAAGTGATAGCATTTGGAAAGGCAGGGAGACTTAAACATGAGGAATCCCGCAGTCATAATGTCAATTCGGATTGGCGTTCATGTCCTAGACTGGAACTGTGTATTTCTATCACTCTCTGGAGAAACTAATATACCATCATCCTACTGAGTGTCACAGAAGCATGTCTCCAACTCACTGCTTTGCTTGTGAAAGTCAGTTTGAGCCCTGGCGTAGGGAGGGACAGCAGATGAGAAACACTCACTGTCAGAAATAATGTTTATTTTAATCAGTATTAACTTTATCAAAACATTTGTTTCTTTTCAGGTAACTGTGCACTTTAAAAGTTCCAAAATCTGACACTTATTCTTTTATTAATATTCTTATATTTCCTTTATACAACGAGAAATAATATAATATGCAAAATGTTATTAGCAAATATAAAATACATTAATTTTTTTCAGTTAAATTATATATAAATGGTATTTTTCATCTATTGCTTTTTATAACTAAAACTATAGAGTATGAAAGTTGCAATTAAAATGGAATGAAACATTTTTAAAAAGGAAGTTTATCAAAGCAATTTGTAAATATATTTAGTTATTTCAACAGCGTAAATGATTAAGAATGTTTTAAAATGTGAGAAAATAATAAAATGATTAAATTGACTTTATAATTCCTTTAAAGTCTACTTATGTTCTCAATATTTTCCATAGTGTCAAATCTCACTTTTTTATCTAGATCAATGGTTCTCAACTTTCTCATGTTTTATTCAAATAAGGTTAGTCTTTTTTTTATCTTTCAGTGCATAAAAAGTCAATTTTATGTAGTAAAATTATTCAATAGAACAATTGTAATCCTAACAGTTTTCTCAGATCTCTCTCTTTCAAAAAGTCAGATGATAAAAATGCTAAGTGCATGAAAATTATATTGTGTGTCTGTGGTAATAGCTATAAATTTATTCATTGCATTTTTTCAGAACCAACTACTTGAAAATTTTCACAGAATATTTGAACAAAAAAAAATTACCGAACTGTCCAGGAAGCCATTCCCATCCGTGTCATAGAGGCGAAACATAACTAGAAATAAAAAAGGTGTTGAGAAAAAGATTATAGGCAAGTAAGATAAATGCTACTATAAGGCATATTCTTTAAAAATGTATTATCTATTGAAAACAAATACTAAACCCCTCCCTTACTCAAAACAATTAATTTGTGAGATCATTTCTGGAACTAAATTGAAAATGAATTAATCAGTTAATAAAAATACTGGCTATCAGACATAAAGTCTATCGATTTTTGTTATATATCTAGAAAACATGATTGTTTGTTCAAATTCTTTATTACAAGATTACGAACTCAAAAATAACAGAAGAGAAGGAATTTAGACAGAGTCTGGATATTAAATGGCAGAGTGGACCATAAGAAACAACTGGTCCGGAGGACTGGGAATCAGTTATGATTTGGAATCTACCACCCTCTACTAGGTGAGCTTAGGTGAGTTTTCTCAAACACTGTTTTCCTCTCTGTACCATGAGAATCATCGCCCTGTCATCAGATTTGCTGGGAAAGTTAAGCGAAGTGATACACACGATGCCTATCGAAAGCTGCAGGTCACTACACAAACAGAAGCCCTTGTTGTGATTGATGCCCAAGCAACGTGGGATAGGAAGGACTGGCGCCGAATAAGGGGATTTTTCTGATGGGGGATGGCTGGAGATAAAGTGCATTATTATCATGGCCGTAACGGCGTTTAAGTCTGAGCTGTAGTTTTGCAGGGCAGCCAATCTTTGAACTGATCAAGTGAGGAAAAGGAGCGTTGGCTTCGCAGCAGTGAACTCGGGACGGCAGGGTGGCCGAGCCCATGACCGGCCGGAGGATTCCCTTGTATAGTCCACATGCCCCAGGAGGCCACGGAAGTGGCTGCAGGTGCCGTACAGAGATAAACAAAGAAGAATGACACAGCTGTAAAAATAGACAAGTGGAAATGAGGGTTTGTGTTGGGTTTGTATAACTTCCTGCAGAATCTTGATGCCTGGGGTCTACAATATTAAATAAAGACATTGATCACTACGAAACATCATTATACAGTGACCTTGATCATATATTTGTAATTAATTTTTATTTTTGTATTTAAAAAGTCATTATTATGTCTCGTCAATTGTAAGATATGATTATTTGTAAGATGCAAAACTAGTCTGCATATCACTAAAAAAGAAAATGCTGCTAATCTATCATAGTTTATTTATGGTAAAATGCAAAGTCTTTAAAGACGTTAAAATGCAAAGGCAAAATGTTTACCTATTGAATTAAAAGAAATAATAAGCTGGCTAAAAGACATAAATGTCTTTATTTGCAAACCATGATGACTGTTCTCTCTCATACACTCAGTAAGTTAGAATAAAGTTCAGAAAGAAAGAAAACCCTATCCCCACATGGATACTACGCATTTCAAGATTTTCTAGTACAGCAGAAAAGGGTAAAAATATCTTTTTGTAAATGGCTAGATTTCACACACCACTCAGAGAACGGCTAATTACCGGGAACAAGTCATGGACTTAAGCCTAACTATATTTTAGAATGAAAAACACTTGTAACTCTGCTAATCCTATTGGCGTAAATGACTGCCACGCCATTTCACATGGAAACCCTATGCCTGCTGGTTAAACTTGTGGGAAACGTGAGCTCAAAGACATGCACACTAATGGGGTGAACGTGTGGGTAACATCATGCATTTCTGGAAGTGTGTGAAACTTCTTACTATGTTCTGAAAGCCACGTTTTACAAAGCACCATCGCAGCCCAAACGCCAGCTACCTTTTCCTTACTAACTTGATTTGAAGGTAGACTCCACACATGACCTAGGCTCTACCAGTCAGAAGCACAAGCCCGGATGACCAATTGCATGCTAGTGACCCCAGAAGGAAGGAGCTGCTCAGAATCCATTCTGGTGATGGGGGGCAGCAGCCTCAGCAGGAGCAGAGAAAGGAGAGAGAGCACCCAGGGTCCTGGATGGATCTGGGCTGCTGTCACTGAAAGGTGCAATGTCTGAGCTCAGAGAGGCAGCAAGGGATTTTTCCCTCAGTCCAGTTTACACATAATTTTGTCATTGTTCCTAGAGAAGTAGCCCCCAAATCTAGTTTTCTGCCTCTCCTAATGATTCTATGTGTTCCTCATTATTATTTAAAAAATAATAATAGTTTTATTAAACATAAACTTAAGTAAATGCTAATCTGTTTCTCTGTCTCCCTTTGTGATCCTATGAACTAGAAGTTGGTTTTAAAAATAAACATATTATTGAAGTATTACATTTATAGAGAAATATAACATTTAATAAATTATCAAAGTAAACACATGAATGTGACTAATTATTCAAGTCAAGGAATAGAAAGTTGCTAGCACAGCAGACACCCGCTCATGCTCCCCCATCGGTTCTTCTCCCCTTTACAGAGTTAACCTCTACCTTGGACTTTTGTAAGCATTCCTTTGATTTTAGGATCACTTACAGAATATTATGTTTCTGATCTGCATCTCTAATGCTGTGTGTAGCATGAACTCTTTCATTGTCTTTTCTACCTATTAATCCAACGCATAAAAGTGTCACAGTTTATTCATTCTAAACTTAAGAGAGATTTAGGTTGTCTCCAGTTTGCAATTTCTAATAATGCTGGTGCTATTTCAAAACATTCTGCTATAAACCTTCTGGTAAATGGTGCTTGTGCTTAGATGAACTACTGGCAGTTGGGTACAAGTCAGTAAAAGGAATGCCTGGGTCGTAGGATTTGCAAATGGTTACTTTTAGTAACACTGCCAAACATTTCAAAACTAGACTCTAAACAGCAGTCAAGAAGGGTTCGAGTCACTCCACATCCTCATGAGCACTGGGTATTGCCACTCTAATTTAAGCCATTCTAGTGAAGGCACAGTGAGTGGTATGTCACTGAGGTTTTAACTTCCATTTCCCTGATTACTAGTGATATTGAGCTAATTGTCATACATTTATTTTCCAGAAAGGCTTGAAGTTTCTCAGAATATTCCAGACTCCCACTTGTTCCAGTTCGAGCCTGTCTGGCTGCAGTTACATGAGAGACCTACAGTCAGAACTGCCCAATTAAGCTTTTTCCAGACATAAAAATGAGAGAATAAAATGAATTCTATTGTCTTAAACCACTAAGCTTTGGTGGTAATGTGCTCTAGTAGACAAAGGAACAGTATGGATATACAATTATGCAAGTGCTGTTACTGGGAGGATAATTTTTACTTGCTCTGATCCATGTAAGTTTGGGTCTGTTTCTAGATTTCCTATTTTGTTCCATGGACTTGTCTATCATTGCATCAATACCACACTGTCTTAGTTACTGAAGTTTGTAAAAAATATCTTGATATGCAGTCAAACAAATCCTCTAACTTTGTTCAACTTTAGCTTTCTTTTAGAAATTGACATGCTGATTTTAAAATTTATATTGAAATAAAAAAGACTAGTGATGCCCAAAACAACCTTAAAAAGGAAGAACAAATTTGGAAAACTTATATTACCTGACTTAAGAGTTGCTAAAAAACAAAGGTAATCAAGACAGTGAAGTTCTGGCTAAAGGATAGACAAGTAAAATAATGAAAGAGTACAGGTGGAAGAGGGTATAGAGGATATAAATGGTGATGGAAAAAAATTAAATAATGGGAGAAAATAGAGTCCAGATATAGAGCCACACACACACGTGGTGAACAAAATACCAAAATGGTTAATGAAATAAGAAAAGTCATTTCAAAAAATGACAATGGAACAACTAGATGGATATCCATATATAAAAACAGAACTTTAAACTTTAACTTTTAAGAAAATGAACTCTAATTTTAACGTTAAAGCTAAACTATAAAGCTTCTAGAAGAAAATATAGCAAAATATCTTCACAACCTTAACCATCCAACATGAACCACCAATGACAAATAATAATAATAGGTAAATTAAACTTTATCAAAATTAGAGCTCTGTTCATAAAGAGAGAGAATAAGCCAGCCACAGACTTGAAAAGTTTTCAGAGCACATATATCTGATAAAGAACTTATTTCCAGAATATATGACCAAATCCTAAAGCTCAGTAATGAAATGACCAACACAATAATTAAGAGGCAAAAAATTGAGCAGATACTTCAAAAAAAGAAAATATATGAATTGCCGAGCATAACAAAGTGCTCAATATCATCAATTGCACATGTAAAAAAATAAAATTTAAACCATAATTAGAGACTGCTATATACTTATAAAAATAACCTGAAATTCAAGTTTTCCCCCCCAAAACTGCTCAGTTGTTCAGCCTCTCAGTTGTAACTATAAGAATTCACTATTTAAAAACAGTAGAAAAGCCAGCCTCCCCTCTCCCAGAAATTTGACCCACCAACCCGACTTGTCTTGATAATTCCCTAAAATTTTCAAATTAAAAATAAAATCTTGTATCCCACTTTTCCACTTGCTTCCAGTAAGAACCTTGTCCTAAAAACAGTTCACTGTTGTCTGAAGAAGCCCTAATATGTTTTATATAATTAATTTCTAAACACATAAATAGGAGTTAATGGCTGTCTATGAATTCTGTCTAATTCATGAAGGAATTAAGGTGGAGAACTTTAAGTTTTAGTTAATAATAATAACAGCAATGATGAAAATAGCATACATATATTGAGCACTAAGTTTCATATACTCTAAAGTTCACTAAGTCTAAATCAAGGATGAATATTTTCTTTGGTTCTATGTAAGAGAGAAAAATGCCAGGATTTTAATTTTCGAAATAAGTCTACTTCATTGTAGTGGAGTTATGCAAAACATGAAGTATTGAACACTCCTATTTACCTTGGCTTTCTATTGAAGTGTCATTATATTTAGGGATTTAAGTGGCATAAGTCCACAGCACAAAGAAAATGTGAGAGGAGAAAAGAAAACCAAATTTTAGATGCTATAAAATAATTGGAAAGTGACTTAGAAACCTGAGAAACAGAAACTTAAGCTGGTAGTGCAGAGGAGGTGAAGATTTGCACAGAAGGGGTAACGAGTTAGAAAATTGCTAATCTTCATGAAAAGAAGTTAGACCC